CATTGGTCATGTCCCTAAGGTTCCCAAAATGAGAAACGATAGATACTATTCCAATGAACCCTTAGACTGACCAAATGTTTTGCCTATCATTATTCTACTATATCTATACATGATTGGTGGTTGAAATTTTCTTATTGAGATGGCAGCTTGCCTACATATATGTTCTATTTGGGAACCACATAGGTTGTTCATGCAAAGAGCAAAAAATATTTCTCCATGAAGAAATGAGTACCTTATCTTGAGATATGTGACATTATTTTTCATTAAGCAATAATAACGTTGTGAAGTTGCACTAGTGTTGTTGATAGAAGGACTCGTCAGATCTAGCCAGAGTATATAGTAAATTTTTTCTTTCTTTTTCAATTTTTTTCTTTCCTTCATGACCTAATCACTCACAAGTAGTCCTTTTAAGATATAATAACTTCAAAAAAAAAATACAATAGGATGTCAAGAACTTTAAGCCATTTCAGGCCTATCTTTCAATAATAAAGAAAAGACACGACCAATGCTTGGGAATAAATAAAACAATAAGTAAATAAGTAGAAAACAAAAGAGGGTGCCAGAGATTACCTCAACTGGGCTTTTTACACCCCACACCAAGTCACCACGTTTAGGTGAGATAAGAGATAGAAGAGATGAGAGAACCACCATAAGAGAAATCTCAAAGATGAGAGAGTGGGGTGTGCCCCTTTTTCGTTATCTTGAGGGAGAGAGAAGGTTTCCAAAGAGAGAGAGGCATTTTCCTTATGGGGTGTGCCCTCTACTTTGGTAAAGAGAGAGAGAGAGAGAATCACAAGAGATGGGGCATTCCCCTCTTTTTTCTATGGGAGAGAGAAGAGAGATTTTAGGTGTAAGAAATATAGTGCAGAGAATATTGGGTAGGGTGCATCCCTTTTTATAGTACTTGAACAAATCTAGGGTTTCTTAGGTTTTTCCTTAACTTGACACTCTTAGGAGATTGAATATGTACCATTGATCTTGGGTGATTTGTGGGGTGAGAGATATGAGCTCTTCATTCCATAGATAGGCCATCAACATCCTATGAAAGGTGCTAGAACCACCCATATGAGAATGAATATGCACCATTGATCTTGGGTGACTTGTGGGATGAGAGACATGAGCTATTCATTCTAGAGATGGGCCATCAACGTCCTATAGAAGGAGCTAGAACCATTATATCTCACTTCCTAGACTATTTTCCCATCAATTAATTCAAATAAGAAATAAATACATGATAATATTATCCTTTCTTATTTTATGCGTAAGCCTTCTCATATGTACCAAAACTTCATTCAAAATTTCCTCAAGGCTTAAGCTTTCTTAAAACAACACAAACTTATCTGTCAAACTTTAGAGTTTTATCTCACAAAATAGAAACTATCCTAGGTGGGGCCTAATTGGCCCCACCTAATTTGCTATGGTGGGCCCAAAAGTCCTATTGGGCCTCGCATGATAATTACTTTTTATTTTTAGAAAAACATAAAATCATTATTTGAATATTTATTATCAAATCTATATCTCTATTTTTATAAATCTGAATTTGATAAATAAAATATTTAGAGATTTAAAAAAATTCAACTAGCAATTCTGAAAATATTATATTATTAAAATAGACAAAATTAAATACTTTGATTAGAAAATGATCTATATGGTCTAGGGATCAATATGCACTATCACACTTCATCTCCTACTGTGGATTACGGACCACACATGTTTTATCAAACCGACCCAGCATTGCCCATGACCAGCAGTCCATGCAGGGGATCATTAGTAGGTTACCAGAGTCTAGACAATGGGTAGGAATCGCAGTCCCAGTATACGGATTTCAAGTCATTCTGGAGATAAAACCTAGGTTATCCTGACCTTATGCAATCTACTGCTCCATAGTGGACAAGTGGTATCTCTCGCACATGAGCACGCTTCACCTTGAAAGGTGGCTCGCTTTCCCAAAAACAGCTATCAATGCGCATACTATGCGATGGTACAAATAATAGGCTTTGGCCCTGTCTCTAAAGGCCTCTATCACACACAAGGGTTACACAATCCCTCGGCTCTCATTCGGACATACTCCAACCTCATTAAGGGCTAACCCACTAAACCCTCATCGGTTATATTTCTATGCCTAGATACCTTGGGTTTTCCCATTTAAACTGACCTAGCACATTAACCACATTAACAAAAGTTGTAGAATAAAAAATAAAAAAATAAAAAAGAATAAAAAAAGAAAGAAGAAGAAGAAAAATCTTTATTTATACAATAATCAAATCATCCCTCATACTTGAGGGCCCAATTTTTAATGTTTACTCAGTGTATTCTAATTTAACCCCCACAAAATACCAACAGTGTATTTATATTTCTTCTTACAATGAGAGGCTCAATATTTGTTAACCTGACCTTCTCTTAATAGTTCAGTACAAGCATTCGAGCATTTGCTATCATATTGGAACCTACTTTCAACAACTTCCTAGTTAACGTGAAGAACGTCAAATTTACAGCATAAAACATTTTCTTAAAACCTTTTTATCTTTTGATAGAGCACAAGAGTTAATCAAAGAATATGGCTTTGAATCTCTCTGTAACAATAAATTTTTGAGAATATATCATTTACACCTACGGAAAAAATACGTGGGTTAAAACTTGCGAATCCGGTTTTCCTGCTAATATATATAAAAGTGAATATTACATAAGATTTCTAGGCGAGCAAGGATGACTCAGGCGCAGACTGATAATTGTTTCGGCCAGTAAGCCCAGTCCGAGCCTAGCTTGTTGGTGGCAGGCACGCCTTAATTGGTAGTCCTAATCCTGACCATGGGGTTTATCACTTTCAAATAAATGGGATAGATTAACAATTTATATAATTTCAATTGTTCATTTAATTATGGTGTGAGATAGACTTAAGTGCTTCTATTATGGTTCAACTTAGGCAATGGAGTTGTGATGACTGATTATATTATACCACCAATATAAAAGCTAAAATAGTGACAAGGAAAAACCCCATTTTCCTGAGAGAAGGGGAAATAACACATACACACACCTATAAATACCCATTTTAGCAAATTAAAAGCAGATAGGGGAAGACTAAGAAAATGTAAGAAAGAAAACCCTAACTCACCTGCATTGTCATGGCCATGAAAAAACGAGAGGATCTCCTTACAAAATATCTTCACTGCACTCGTATAACGAAAAAAGATTCAGCACATGAATTTTCGAAAATAGTTATAAGAACACGCCCGTTACATAGAAAGTCCATGGATTGAAAGCGAATCCCCAATGTGCAGGCGCCCTTCAAAGAAGAAGCGGCGAGTGGCTAAATTAGCAGCCATGGAGGATGTTGGGGGGCACATCAGCAATTTGTGTTGAAACAAAAGTTATTTAAATCAAAAGAATCGGTTGAGGAAGTTAGGGCCACTTGCTTGAGAGGTAAACCCTAAATGCCTTTAGGGAAGATGTAGGGTTATTGTGTAGTTAAAAAAAAAGGGTTTGAATAAAGAAAGCTCGAGTGAATAGAGAGAGAGAGAGATTGTGTGCCTTGAGTCTATAGATCATGTACATAATTTTTGTCCTTATCTCTAGAGGGAAAATATGGTTAAGCTGTCTCTCACGATAGCATACTCCAAATCCACTAAAAAACCAAAGGGATTGTGGGCCTTGACGCTATTTATCATTATTACAAGATTATTACCAGTTGTGACAATTCACTTGTACCCATTAGGTGTCAAATTAGATGGCTTGAATTTGGCATAAAGTTAAAAAAAAAAAAATAGGCATGTAGAAAGTTAGAGTTAATTTTTTATTTTTTCTTTGAGGTAGGTCACAGGGCTCTAGAGATTACATCCCCAAATTTGGTGATCCAAAAGATTTTCTTGTATATTTTTTGCTCTAGAGAGTAGATGGACAATATATTTCCCCAGGTGTATGAAATATTTTGGCATAACAAATTTGACATCTCTAACCAACTTGAAGCTATATCTCAAGAAAGATAATCGCACCAAGAAAATTTTGCCATGTAATAAATTTGGAAAAATAATATAAAAAAGTAAATCCAAACTTACAACTCTCTACGGGCCATATCCCAAAACCACAACACACAAAATTCATGTGGTTTACCTTAATCTGCCTTGTGGGCTATACTTGGGGAGGATGTGATTTTATTAATATGGGATAAAAATATTAACAAAATGACAATCAAGATTTTTGGTGAACAAAAATTACTACTTCATCCAGAGAGAATATTTTTCAAATCCCTTAGTATAAAATTAGTTTTTCATTAAAAATAAAATTAATAGGGAGAAAATTCAAACAATTAAGAAGTTGCATAGGCTTATTTTGTTATTTATAAAAGTAATTTAATCCTAGTCCTATACGCATGTAAATCTTAATTATGATAATATAAGGAGATATCCCTACCAATCACTTATTGCTATAAAATATTCTTTAAATGGTTAAATTTTGAAATCCAAAAAAATCATTTGAAAAGTTAATTTTTATCTTTTACGTGCAAACAAAACTTATCTATTAGTAACTATGACGTTAATGTAAATTATTTTTCAAATACCTTAAATTTAAATAAAAACAAATTAAATTATTTCAAAAATTAAGTCATGACCTTTCATTTCAACCCCTACGATTAAATAAATGAAATGAAAAAAGAAAATCCCATGAGTGACTTAAATTACAAATCATTATTGCACTTATTATACAACGTAGAATTCTTGGTTTCTAGAATTCATAAATTACAAATCTAGTTTTGTTTTCTATTAGAAGTAGAATTATTTGTTTCTAGAATATAAATTCTACCCGGTGTTATAAATAGAGAGTTGCAGGCCATATTTGCGAACAACATAAATTGAAGTTTGCCATTTGCTTTGAGGTGTTCTCTTCTTGCTTCTTACTGATTATTTCGTTAAATGTGGCACATAAAACTTAGATGCTTTTGTGAAACACAGATAAATTCTTCACAAAAGAAGAAGCATTCTCAAAAAGGGGAAAAGAAGAAGAAGTCTAGTTTCAGTGGACTGAAAATTTTTAAAATCTTTCTATAAGTAAATTGTGCTTTTCTAGAAAGGGAAGCGAAGAAGAGAGAGGAGAAGACGAAAATATGGTTATATGGAGAAAGAGAATTCTTATTGGTCAGTGCTGTTGGATTTTTGAAGGGTACCGAAGATGGAGAAATCAATTCACAGTTTCTCCTACTTCTTCGACGTAGGCTTTGAAGACTTTTGCAGAGGGGGCCTCAGGGCTTTAATATAGGATTTGAGCTATCCATCAAAAACATTAAAGAGTAATTATTTTAGGGATTATGATTTTAAAAAAAAAACGTTTCATTGTAATAAAATGACACAATATGGATTGTTCCTTGCACCTTAGATCCGTTAATTTCTACTTTGTATCAAATCATTTGGTCTTCTTGTTTTTAACCTTTATTTCTTATCGCACTATTGACTAGCATTGTGCCAATTACAGTAGAATGACAATGGAACTAGGACTATATTTGAAGTGTGAAAGCAAGCAATTGCTTGTTTGCAAGCATAAAAAACAAGGAAATTCATAGCTACACATTAAACTTCATGAATTAACAATTAGTGGCTGTCTGGATCCATAGAAAGAGATTATTGGAAAAATCTATTTGGATTACAGTCCCCTACCCATTTTCGAAATAGTCAATTTTTTTAATGGGTTAGTGAGAATGGAGGTCATAACCTTTAACTAAGGCTCAAGAGGTACTGTACCTATGAGCCCAATCCTATTCTCAAAAGTAAAAAAAAAATGCAAGGCATCTTTGGTTTATCAAATATGAATTTAAAGTAAGAATTTTCAAATAATTGAATGTTCTTCGCTTTAAAATATGAATTTTCATGTTTCGAACGCATCTTCTCTCTAGAAATTTCCTCGTTTCGGGCCACACCATGATGCGGATCATATGTCAAAACGAGCGTATCATCGAGATCTAGCTCGTGTCTGAATTTGAGCTTATAAAATATTTTGACACCAAATTTTGGACGTCAAATCCTCTCTTAAACTCCCACTTTTAAAAAATATAAAAAAAATATTATCAATAAAATAAAATAACCAAAATACACCTGAAAGATTCATGGGGTATTTTGATCAATATATTTTATCGAAAAACTAATTTTAATATTTATTTTAGTTGTGCCCCAATGATAACATAACACATACCAAATACAATTTGTGTTAAAAAAATTTAAAATAAAATATTCTAAGGCATTAGATCTTAGATCAAATGGTGAGTGTCACTCTTGATCAAAATTGCCTGGTTGGATGGTAGGGGAAACAAATATCTTCTTTGTTGTAGGGGAAGTATAGATAGGGGAAATATAGAAACCATTCCCAGTAAGTAAAGGGAACGGGTAGACAATTTGGGTAGGTTTCCTACACTTCCCCTTATCCAACTATCCATTCTGAATGGAGGGCTACGATTGCTCCAACCACAATGTTATGCCTCTACATTATTTTATTTTTAGTTTTTTATATAAATTATATTGACACCAAATTTTGGGCATCCAATCCTCTATTAAACTCGTACTTGTTAAAAATATAAAAAAATATTATGAATAAAATAAAATAACCAAAATACCCCAAAAATATTCAAAGGGTGTTTTGGTCCTTATTTTAACATAAAATTATTTTTAATATTTTTTAGTAGGTGTACCCCAATGAGAATATGGTACATACCAAATTTCATAAACATAAAACCTGTATAAAAATAATTAAAAATTAAATGCTCTGTGCCATCGAGTCTAAGATCAAACGGCGAGTGACTCACTTGATCAAATTGGAAGGCTAGATGGTAGAGGAACCATAAATCTTCTATGTTATAGGAGAAGTAGAGAAACCTTTCCCAAACAATTTTAGCAAAGAAATCAATGCCTTTATGAACAAGCACTTAAAAAGGAAAATCAATGTTGTTTTAAGTAAAGGCTGACATGTCCCAATGCCTTAGAATACAATGTACAAAATTTGGCTATATTTTAATTGTATGTCAATGAGTAGGGTTGGCAATGGAACTGGACCTGACTAGGATCTAGATATTTGGACCCGGTGTGTCAGGATCAGGTCCAAACCTTGGACCCGAACACTATTCGGGTCCGGATCTAGGTCCAGGGACGATCAAGATTGTATCCAACTGCCAATTTCTAGTCTCACATTATATTTTTGGGTCCCAGTTTATGAAATATATTTAAATATATAGACGTTTTAATTTTTTGGTCGGGTCAGGTCTGGGTCTGGGACTGAGTCCCACATTACATTTTTGGGTTTGGGCCTAAGTCTGGTGACTTTGGGTGTTGCCGGACACAGACCAGACCCATTGCCACCCCTATCAATGAGACCACCAAATTTTGAGCATACAGACTGGATTTGTCATATAGGGGCAAATAGAGAAGGCATTAATAATGGATAAGGACAAGCTTGCCAAGATTAAAGAAAAGGAGAGAATAAATGCTAAAAATGAAGAGAGCATCTAATCCAAAGGTGGTTAGTGAATCATAGCTACCTACGGTTGGTCATTTGTTAGGTAAAGTAAACCAAGTTTCACTAATATAAATACAAAAGGGCATGTTTGTCCCATACCCAATCCCTATCAACTATCTCCCTCACATCTCAAGGCTTCTACAGTTTTAACCACATCCTGTTTTTTTTTTTTTAGTAGTACTTTCTCATCCCCGTAGTTTCCTTCTTTTTTGAATTAAAACAAATCCAGCCAAAGTCCAAAGGTTGTTGCTTGATTGACATAACTTTTCCCTGTATCCTACCAGTTTGATGTCCAGTAGTCTTTTGCTCAGTCAAGGGCGCATCATGTATAAATCAATATCAATAGAATATTTCTACTAAAAGCCCAAGTCATCCATAGGTTTTCCTTACTACTAAAAGACAACCCAGAGTATGGTTTTGGAGAGAAAATTATTGAACTAGTACTTGTTTTTTTAGGTGTCTCTAGTAAAAATAGTTTTTGATTAATTCGTTAACGAGAGAAGACTAGAATATTTTTCTTTTCTTCTATAGGCTGACGAGGATGAGATTGAAGATCCGAACATCAATTCTTCAAGCATGGAGAGTGTGATAGAATTTGTGATATTGGAATAGAGAAAGTCACACCCAAATAGTATGGAAATGAGAAAATCCCACCTAAATGGTGTGAAGATGTGTATATAATGGAGTGGTATGTTAAGAATCAGGCTTGGGATTGAGTGGTTAGCAGTTGACATAAGCAACGCTACCTTTCAAGTACTATTCGTACCACTGAACTAATAATGCAATAGGACCTCGAAAAATAAAATCCGATTTGCAACAAGCAAAGTGACCAATAAACAAGATTAGTGAAGTTTTGAGGATTGTTTCAAGCTAATTATTTTCAGGGGCAAATAATTATAATGTGCATTCACCACTCAGAGAGAAGTTGAA